AAAACAACTGAATGTCGTGTTGCTGCCGGATGAACATGTATTTCATCTAACGGTTGGATTGTGTCTTCGCCAACTTCGGTCGGCGTAGAAGAGTTGTGTGAATGATTATGTTCTATAAGAGAAGAAAGTTTTGTTTGTCGTTTCTTACTTATCATAAAGTGTTAAAGTGTTTGAGTAACGGACTCTTACCGTGAAATAATAAAATTCCTATAATGTTTGAAAACAATCCGACTCCTCCTACTATAAGAATCAAAATCGGATTCCTGATTTCTGAACAAGTCAGATCGGTTTAAAAAAATCAAAATTCAAAGATGCGAAGGGCGAAACCCAATTTAAAACCGAATGACAAACCTTCATACTCAAAAAATCGCTGTATGGCTTCGATTAACACAGTTAAACATAAAGCAAGTAAAAATATCCCATTTACAAGAGCACCCAATACTTCAGCACGCTGCCAGCCATAGGAATATTTTGGAGAAAATTTCGTTCGTGAAGCAAGCTTTTATCAAAAACATAAAGCAAATTAGTATGCCATCAAAGATATACGTATATAAAACGAATTATATGAATACCTTGATAGCGTATAACGCAACTATTAAGCTCATGACATCATTTAACATATGAAAAGAATCTGCCACCAGGGACAATGACTTCAACCAGTAACCAATAATGATCTCGACGAGAAAGAACACCGAATCGAGAACCAGCAATATCTTGATTCGAGCCTGACGTGACAGCTTTTTCTTCATGGGATATGTTTGTAGTTTGGAAAACGGTACTATGCTTTTGAACAGTTATTTATATTTTAGGGAAATGAAAATACAATAATTTCAAGTTAAAAGAAATAGCGAGTTACGACTTCCATTTTTATTAAAAAAAATAGGTAAGTGTAATACATTTTAAGACTAACAGTACGCGATGATCGTAATTGCAACGCGTTTTACTATAATTACGTCTGATTCAATTATCTATTAACAATTACGTCAAGGGATCTACAAACTTTATCAGATGATTCTTTTTACTAAATAACGAACGATTAGCATGTACAAACTAAAAAAAAAATTTTTCCACATGTATTTTTTTCCTTTTCAACGCTGAATTGAAGGAAAAGCATAAATACTAACCAAACATCGAATAACCCATTATTGGATTAGTTTAACTAGGGTTCCAATTTTAATAATTTAATTATTGTTTAAAATCCTTTTTAAATATTTGTATTATTCACTTTATGCTTTTTATTGAGTAATTTATATCCATCAACCTTTTTTTTTAATAAATACCCCGAGAATTCAATATCTGAATAATTACTTTTTACAGTATATTGACTGGTCGTAGCAGAATTGGATCTCACACTATCCAGCATATATCGATCATGTGAACTTATAGTTTTTCCTCTATTATTGTGTTTGATTAATACTAAGGATGACTCAAACAGCGAATCAGTTACTAGCTTACGTCGTCCCTGATTGCACATGGATACCTTCAGGTTCAACTGCTTCGACTGAATCAGCTTATCCCCGCTTTCCAAATCTCGTGAGAGAATGGCGTTACTTCAACCGAAGTGTCAATTTGAACCGTAATATTCCGGTAGGACAATTCCAGGTGTTTCCAACCGATAGTCAAGATCTAAGTGTAGAAGATGCAAGAACTCGGCTCTATTCTAATGTTTTATGGCCAGTTAAAACACTACTAGGAGGAGCAATGTTTCGTGCGAGAGGTCCTGGAATATTGGGTGTTCCTGATTACACTTTATGCACTAATAATCCCTTAACGGCCAAGATGCCTGTGGAGATTAAAACGCGTCACAATTTGAAATTAAATAATTATAATCTCTGGGAAGTTTATCGAAGTGTTGACCGGGCTCAAATAGCGGATCAAGATTTTAGGTTTAGAAAAAAGATCTTATCTCAAGTGTTTGGAGAATTGGCCTGCAATGGTCTTCATTACGGGATTTTGACAAACTATTCTGATACATATTTTCTCAAACGACTAGAAACAGAACCAACTACCCTATATGTTTCTCGTGTTATTCATCCTAATAGTAACCATCCGACTTTACGCGAGTGTACTTACTATATCAGTTGCCTGGCTATTAATGATACCGTCGGTAATAGATTGGATCGTATAGTAGATGACAATGAGCCACCATCCTATGACGATGATGACGATGAAGATGACGACAACGAGGATTATCCTGATGATGACCTTGACGATGATTATATTCCTCCTGGTTCTTCTAGTTCAAGTAAGAGGAGTTCTTCGATTCAGACTGGTAGCAAGAAGAAAGTGAAGACGTCATCTTCCAAAGAAATAACTACAATAGATAAATATATAGGTGGTGGAACCTTTGGAAAGGTTTTTTCTGGCTATTATGGTTGTCAATCCGTGGCATGGAAGACTTGTGATGCGTACAAGGAGCAAGAAGCGATGAAGATGCTAAAACATGAAGCTCATATTTATTCAATTTTGAAAGAACTTCAAGGTATGTATCTTTTTGTTTCATTCATAATATTCATTATATTTTAAGTATTAACTTGTTTATTGCAATATCGGTATTAGGAAACACTATTCCATGTTTGCTATATGAAGGGTATATTTATGACGGTTATCTTTACACATTGGCATTACAGCTAATTGAAGATGCTCGTCATATAGATCCGGCAATACTTACTATAGAAGAAAAGGAATCGATAGTAAAACAATTAGAATCAATACATAGTTTTGGCGTCTTACATAATGATATTGCTCTGAGAAATATTCTCTTTGAGCCAAAAAGTCATAAATACTTTTTTGTTGATTTTGGCCTAAGTGAGATCGTGGATGACGAATCACCAAAATTGCGCAAGGAAGAAAGGGGATTAAAAAATTTTTTACACCTTTAACCATCTTGATGCTTGGTATTTATAATGAAAAAATTATTAATGATCGTTCACTTCAACCAGTTCGTGGGCACTACATTAGGAATTAGAATATCAATGATACTTTATACTGCATTATCACGCTAGATGAAGCATAAATAATGAAATAAATACTTTATACTGCATTATCGCGCTAGATGAAGCATAAATCATGAAATAAATAATATATCTTCTACAACTTATTTTCCAATGTACAGTATGTTGCAAAAAAATTTTCATAATTGAAATTTTTACAATTATAAAATATGTAATTATTTAAAAAAATTATATATTTTATATTTTAAGATATAAATTTAATTGAAATTTTTAATTAAAAATTTATTGTATTAATATTTATATTTTTTAAAAAAATTATTTAACTTATTAATGTGTTCTTTATTTTACTTTTTAAAATCTTTTATTCTAAAGCAAAAACTATATAAATATATATATATTATTATTATTTTAACAGAATTAAATATAAGTTAAAAAGAAAAAAAAAAACTCTTTTCTACAAATCTCAAAATTCCTAAAAATTTCCTTTTTAGTAATACTAAAAAACACTCAAGAACATTTAAAGAAATACTCTAAGAAAATATCAAAAGAAAAAAACTTCACAATATCTTCTTGAAAATAAATGAGAATAGATATAACAGATATACTGTAGGTTCAAAAAATATATCAACTCTTTTTTATTTCTTAATTTCAAAAACAGATACTTGTAATTTCTTATTGAAAAAAAAGAAAAAACAAAGAATACAATTTACAATAAAATTAAAAAAGAAAGTTAGCACTGCATTTCACAAGTTGCCAACCAGTTATACATAAAATTAGATACTTTCCTAAACATTAACAAGACTCAATATTGATTAGATTACATTCAGTAAACCAGACAATCTTATATATCAATACAAAATTAGAAAGATACTAAGACTTTCTTATTACTATAATTGAAAAGAAAAGTACAGATCTTAATATTTTTGAAGATAAACAATAATTGTTATGTGATCAAATTTTTGTTAAAGACAAAAAAACTAGAACAGGTTATCTCTTTTCAAAAATCAACAATAATATGAATTACTAGTTCAAATTGGATTATTTGGTTGCCAAAGTACAGTCGATTAAATCCAAATTTATTAATAAAAGTTTATACCAAAGTTTTGTTATTTGATTTAATTTATGCCATTCAGCATTTAAAAAAACACAATAATTCAGCAAAAAAATATATAACATTTAGCAAAAAAATCATTTGGCAAAAAAATCATTCAGCAAAAAAATATTTCTAGTTAAAAAATATTCAACAATAAAGTTACAACATTCTGTAATAAAAATTATAACATTTGAAATAAATTTTTATTATTTAACTATAAAGTTGAC